AATTTTTACTCTTTTTTTGTTAGTCCTAGACCTGGAATAAATATGAAGGATTAAAGTAATTTAATACTTATATAAACAATTTTTCCGAGTAGTACTTTCGAGGTATCTAGTTTATTTCAGGTAGTCAGGTGACGAATCAGGAACAAATTATTACCTGCGGACAGTTATAAAAAAAGGTAAAGTGACGAAACAGGAATTGATGAAATAGGAACAAATCCTGCTGACTTTAATGGAAGCAAATTCCTTAAATATGAAGGTGTTGACTGCTGTCTTAAAAAATTGCAAATCTACTACGAACTCCATCGATTTACAGTACCTGAATGATGTAGGTGGAAGGGTTCCAATTGATTAACATTTCTTTTTTAATCTTTTGTTAAAGCTTTTGGTTGTAGTAAAGCGATTTGTGACATTTCTTTTTCTGTGGTGACAATGATTAGCAGTGTACAGCGACTTCTACGTGCCATCAACGAATGCCATATTTGATTCTTTTTACATGCTATTAAAATTATGCAAACTCATAATAAGCTTGAGTCATTTGTAAGAAAATTTAATCAGCAGAAAGACAACCATCGCAACTTTTCTAACTACAAATTAATAAAAAGTCAGTTTTGTAAGGTTTTGTTGATACAAGAAGGATTACTAAGTATGATAAAAAGTTCCTTCTTGAACGTGCTGAATTTTACGTAATAACTATTGTAAACAAAATCAACAACAGAGTTACGGAATATATGCCTATAAAAAGATGTAGGAATTTGGCTTTCAACCTGTCCTGTTTTTTTTAGCCTGCTCTGATTACGCAATCTGCGGCATTGCTAGAGCACTATTGAGACCGTCTCATTTGTTTTTACTTAATCTATAGTACATTACGTATCGAGGGAAGAAACAGGGTTATTTCAGATATGCAGTCTGAGACAACCCTGTTTCTTCCCGAGGTAGGTATACTATTTTTTGTTATGTTTATGGGGAAAGCTCATTATGAAATTGATAATGATAGAAGAGACATTGTCATTGAACAACTGATTTATACGCATGCCCATAAACTTCAGCGCATGCGCTGAAAAGACTAATTTCATTGCCTCCCGACTAAAACATGGCTGAAAAGAGGCCAAAAAAGTATATTCAAAAAAACTTCTTTATTTCGTTAATCACTGCTGAATAAATCTCATGAAATTATATTGAGGACAGAAAATTCGTTGAAACTATTTGAATCTTTTGATTTCAATCACCACGTCCATGAAATTGACATTTTACATACCGTTTTAAATTACATTTTTTGTTGTGATTTTTTTAAAGTGGATTATTTATGTAGCGATTTTTTAGAAGTTGAATATTCTCTCTTCGGTTTAATTGCTGCAGTGGCATTTATTCTTAGTTATGAAGTCATTAGAGAAAATTTCATGCAAATTGACAACGGCATTAACTCCTTACAAACCCCTCATTGGACCTTTAGCAAGTTGTTTTACAGTTGGTCAATTTCTTGCGGAAAGCTTAATCTGTTTAGATATCATTGCAAGAAGAAGTACAAGAGGAGTTCCATCATGGCCCTTTGTGGGCGGATTTGTAATGTACTTCTAACATTTTTATTTATCTTGACACAGTAGTAATTAATTTTACTAGACATATACGTAAATCACAGCTACCTCTACCTTACAAGCCATAAACAAGTATGTGGCGCCGCCGCAATTGTCGGCCATGCGGGTCTATTGGAGAGTCCACGTCATAACAGAATACATAAATCAATATCGAATTTTGCAAACTATACGTAAAATACACGGGAAATAGTAAAAAGAAGTTGGTATATTGTGTATAATTAAATGTTTTGAACATTTATTAGCAATTTCACAAGAATTGGCAAATCCAGAACAAATCATAAATGCTCAGAATTGTTCAAGCTAAATTATTTTCATTAGAAGTTGCACCCATTATTTTTTGATTTTTATGACATTTTTTGAGAAACATAAATTTCATCTACTAACGATTTTATCTTTTGTTTTGAAGGAAAAGTACTTTGCATCCTAGCTTCTTCCATAGCCTGTTTTCGGTATGTGCGAAAGTTTTGGAGACTTATTTGACTTTTTTTGATAATCACCCGCAGNACAATTGTATAAAAGAGGAAACCAGTTTTTTATTAAATTCAAATTTTATTTCATTCATTACACAACTCGGGATTAAATTAATCTTTTTTTTCTCAAGAAATGAAATTAGAGAGGAAAAGCAATAAACAAACATTTCCAAATGTTGTACAAAAAAAATAGTGCATAAGTCTATGGTTTTGGAGATACACTATTGAAAAGCCTATCTTTAATCATTTGGGCCATAAGGCCATGAATAATTTCTATCGTTGTTTTACAACTGTCCTTTGTTGCCTTTGATAATTTATCTTCAGTGCGCTTTTCATATGGATCAGTTCCACCAACCATGAAACTACGACCTAGAAATAAATAAGTTTGAATGCTTCAAATATGCTGTTAACCATGAGTCTAAAGGCTGTAAAAGTAAACTTTACACAGCAGTGTACTAAGCTATCTCTAAATGGGATGCGAATCACCGAGAAAGTGATGAAAACTATGCAACTCAGACAGAAGGCTACTCAAAAGATTAATTAATGAAACTAATTTCCCTTTTCAACCAAAACTACATTGGTTGATTTGTTCATAGGAAAGTAAAACAAGTTACAGACAGCTGATTAAGTAATACAGAACTGAAACTAACTTGTATAAGAAGTTTTGCTGTATCTACCAAAGTTTTCGTCAATCAGCTTAGCTTATAATTGTATAAAAATCGTAAGCTTTTGTGTCCGGATGCGATTTATACCAAAAATCAACTTTAAAAGAAATCAAAAACTTAGGCAGACAAATTAATTGAAATATAATTTTGTGAACAACTGGTAAACACTTTGAAGATTTGATAGCTAAAGTTAGAAAGTAATTAATCATTCCGGTTCCGATTAGGTCTTGTCAAGATAAACAAAACCTTGGAAATAGATTGAGAAATGCTCATATATGGATTGTTCAGAATTAACTGATCCGAAAATAGAATACTTTTTTTGAGTTATTATCAATTCTGTACGCCAGAACTTCCGCCTGTGTCTAACACAGTTTAATCCAGCTTGCTCACGCATTTTCTTCTGTTCTCGAGTTATCAGTAATTATTATCTATGTTGCTATATTATTTTGTTTCTTGTATCTTTTATTTACTAGTCTCTTTGTATATATTTTCTATTCGTTTGTTATTGTTGTGTTCTTCCTACTTAAACTGTATTAATTATTGTATTTTCAATATTTTTATTCAAAAATTAACGAAATAACAAAAATTAAATCTTACCAAAAGCAACTTCAGACTGCTCCAACTTTTCTGATAAATCAAATATCTGACCAGTGGTGTAATCTGCATTAGTCAGCAAGCTTGAAGAACTTAAGGTATTCACCCAATATTTATTCCAAAGAGAATCTAATAATCTTCTATCTAATGCTGATTTAAAATAAGAAACATCTAGAGAATAATACTGTTTGCAATGTACTCCAAAATCTTCAATTTTATTTAATGGAATAGTTTGATATTCAGATGGTTCCTCATTTGCTGGTTTGTATCCCTACAAAAACTAAGTAATGATATTTTTAAATCACAAATGTTTGTAAATTGTTACCTTTGGATAAGTTCTAAAAGCTCCCAGACATACTTTTCCAGCAGATATGGTTCGAACGGGATCAATAACAATTGCTACAAAGGGTTCTTGAAAGTTCTGGTTTAACATTTGGGTGCTTACATCAATTCCTGAGAGCCAGCATCCATAGCCTGGGTGACTATGATACCATCCAATTGCATTTTCTTGTCTACCAACCTAAAAATTAATTAAATTTTCCAGAAAAATAACAGTATACCTGTAATAACTTCAATAGGCATTCAGTGCACGAAAATGTGTTGAAAATAGCAAAAAAATTGACCTACCCATACGAAAAATCCAAGATACAGAAACAATGTATTTGTGAAAAAATGAAATAAATTGTATACTAATGAGTAATGAGTGAAAAAACCTAAGCCAACAATTTACATTTTTTGCAAAAAATAACATGGCAAAGACAACATTGTCTCTATGATGACAATATTCACTTCGACCTTTTCCTACCGTAAAGTTGTTATGACTCTAAGTAATCAAATAAAATAATAAACCATTGTTAGACAAGTTTAGGGTTGATTAGGTTACGGTAGGATGCTGTTTTTTTCAAACCTCAAATCGTGTCAAACATATTTTCTTGTTCAAAATGGTACAAGATTGAAATTTCATGAGATTCGGAGGTGTGACCCCTAATCTAAACAATTATCAAATGGACTCCTAACCTAACCTAATCTATGCATTTTGCATAAAGACTACTCTTTTATTTTTAATGACAACCAACTGTGCAACTTGGTTTAGAAAAGTATGGTCATATCATTAAGAATAATGGAGCACTTCGATTTAAATTTTGAAAATTTGGACAATACCGTGACTGAGTATTAAAATAATGACATCTATGTAGCACTTCCGCGTAAATCGTATTTTAAATTATACATCCTGTATATTATGAAGGTTTTAAATTGAAGTTATGATTTTAGGTAAACTTTTATAAAGCCTTTCCTACTTCTAAAATCTACCGTTTTCGAGATATTAATGTTTCAAGAAAAGGTATCACAGAGCAGTAGGTAGCGAAAAAGCATGCCTATTTCACAGTAAGAAAGCTATATTTAGCTATTTAGCTATACCCTCAATCTTCCCGCCCATATTTTCAAAGTGGATTAATTACATACAAGGTGTTAGATATTTAATGGCAGATTTGGTTAACATTAAACAATCGTAAGTCCAGTTCTTCAAATGGAACACCCTGTATGTATTTTCATAGCCTTGTCCAGAATTTTATTCTCTTATACTTATTATACTGTGTTTTATGTAATTCTGACCTGTCAAAATATCATAGCTGACTTGATAAATTATATTAAATTTGTTGAAATGACTACGTTTTTAAAACGTAATATCTATCCCATGAAACAATGCACAGGTACGAATCTATCAAAGAATTTCATGTACACTATCCTTTCATTAGTCGACTAAAAAAAAATAAATTTAGACATGAAAGGGTATAATTCGATAAACGTAGCATTGAAAAAGATAGCGCTATGCACCACCCATCTCTGCTAGATCGAAATGGTGGCATTGCTAGTACCTAAGAACGTATGACTCTGTCTACAATGATGCAAGTTCATCCTTTCCTGGGATGGGTAATACATTTTTCATGAAAACGTCAACAGAAAAGTATACTAGTATTCAATAAAGGATTAAATTCTACTTGACATAAAATAGAGGGTGTTCTTTTTAAACACCTTGTATAAAATTTGGTTTTAAAAGCGGTAATACACGTTGTGAATTTGAAAGTTAAAGTTGTTACATTTTCACAAAAATTAAAACATTTTACAATGCTTAAGTTTGGATGAGATAAACATTAACGAAACTCTTTAATTTTGATCATAGAATCTAAAAATGTAAAAGTATTTAGGACGTTTCATATTAAAAACCAAAATACTGTTTAGTTTTTGGACGCCTTGTATATTAGGAAAGTAATTTTAACTACCCTAACAAACATTTTCAAAAATTCAGGAACATAGACGTAATATTTTGTATTGAATAACGTGAATAACCTTGTATATACAATTAGTGAATACAGGTCTATGGTAAAATTATTTATCACATTAATTTAAACTTACCAATTTTGCAGCTTCAATGTATGAACTCATATATTCATATGCCTGAGCTTGGGCATTTACTCTCGTTTCTGTCCCTTCTACAGGCAAAGCAAAAGAATCCATAACAAACATAGTATTTCCATCAACTTTTCCTAGAAGAAGCCCCATTACTTCCAATGTGCCCCCAGACCTAGCATGCATTACCATTTTGAGTAGTGCCAAAGCTGATATTTTAATATCTTTAAAAAAATATGGACTAAAAATTTTAATTTGTTATTAGCTGTTAGGTTTAATAAATAAAAATATTTACTCTTTTTCCCATGGTTTAGCAGCAAGGATGTCCTGTTGTTGTTTTTTGTCATACCGGTATATTTCATCAACTGAACTCACATTTTCTACTTTATTGCTTATTTCCCATAACTTCTGAGCAACTTCTTTAGAATTTGAGGATGAACTTGATTGTGACATTTTTGTTTATGATAACCAGGTTATGTTATTGTCCTGGACAAGGTCATAGATTTGGTGAGCGACTAGAAATATAAAACAATTGTCAAAAATTGGCTAAAAACGACAAGGACAGCAACTAATATCAACAGATATCACCATCAGTGTCGCCAACTTGAAGTAAGGCAGTTATTGAACCAGCAACGTAGAATTATCGTTTCTAGAAAAGAATTGTCGTATTTATCAAAATCACTTTTAAATTAAACGTAATGTTGATATTTTTGCATATGCTTTATAGTTTATTATTTGTAAACTACCGGTTTTTGTAATTAAAAATAAGATAGTAGTTCCCCATCCATTTAAAAAAATAATGGTGGCTCCAATATTAACCGAATTTATTAATCAAAAACGACACCATACGTTACCTACGAAAGGAAAGAACCATTACATACCGCTAAAAAAGAAAGAAACAATCATCGTGCTATTGGCTAATCAGGATTGGAATAAAATAAATTCTCAAAATTTGCATCATAACGGAAATTATCGTAGAATATACATGCTAACATTGTTATCGTACGTAGACATGAAATTATCGTATGTGTACTAGGGTCCCTAGATTGGCTGGCATTTTAAAAAGGATTATGGATGAATTAAATAAAGAGTGAAGAGTACCTCTTCAAGCCTTTAAATGTACGTACATACATATGTCTAGCAGGCGCTGCCTCTCATTCTGAAGCATTGCCTGTGAGCATTGCTATACTTAAAGCATCACAATCAAGTTCTGGTTGAATTTCTTCAGTGGTTTGATCGTGGACTTCCCCGCTAAATAATGATAAACTATAAGAGGAGGTTTCCGGTATATATAACATATACTATCAATTATTTAGAATTTGTGTAATGTCAGTAGTGTTATTTGGCCGGTTCTGTTACAAAATGAAAAGGAGGGGTGTAATTGACCGGTTACTTGTTCAGGCGCGTTCAACATCTGCGGTTGGTCGAGAGTTGGGTTAGTGAACTTTATTCTTCACCATCGCGCTACATTCTAATAATATAATTTTCAACATCGGCGATATTGTTGTTGCTATTTACAATTATGCTAAGCGAAATGTGATTGTAGTAATATTGTATTAAGAAAAATCCTCAAATTTTGTAAAAAGAGTGGCGGGTGCAAACTGAAGCGGCTTCATAAACTGCGTGAATTTCTGTTAAGGATGGGCATTCTAAATCGCCCAGGTTGATAATGTTTTGCAGATGAGGAAATTATTTTGATATCCACCTAAGTTCCACACACCTTTGATAAAAATAATTATCGAATTACTTAAAGCTTTCTTATTTCACTAATTGTCTCGTGCTATTTGTGATGACCACTATTCCATCCGAATTCATAATAATTTCTAATAAGTCATCTATTCTGACTTCCGTAGAGGTTTGTAAGTTGCGACCATGGAAGTGGTGGGTATAGTAAGTATCAGTAGATTGTTTCATCACTGCTGACGGTAGTTTCTTATTTCATCACCTCATAAAAATTTACCTGAATCCACCTTTTCCTGTTTCGTGCAGTCCCCACTCCCGCGGCGTAATAATTGGATATTTTGTCCACTCCAAAAAGAAGGAAAAAGGTATACCATTGTAGATGATAGCGTAAAAGCTGTCATAAAGCAATTATTGAAAAATGATATAACATTACAAGAGACTAAGAAAATTAAGTTTTATTGTTAAATATGATTAATTAAGTCCTCTACTGTCCGACAAAGCCTGAAAGGCAAACTTAATTTGTGTATATATTTGACCACCGCAGACGTAGGAAAAATCTTTAAACACGCCAAAATAACATTATTTTAACTTTTAATTTTTACTTTTTTTGTTAGTCCTAGACCTGGAATAAATATGAAGGATTAAAGTAATTTAATACTTATATAAACAATTTTTCCGAGTAGTACTTTCGAGGTATCTAGTTTATTTCAGGTAGTCAGGTGACGAATCAGGAACAAATTATTACCTGCGGACAGTTATAAAAAAAGGTAAAGTGACGAAACAGGAATTGATGAAATAGGAACAAATCCTGCTGACTTTAATGGAAGCAAATTCCTTAAATATGAAGGTGTTGACTGCTGTCTTAAAAAATTGCAAATCTACTACGAACTCCATCGATTTACAGTACCTGAATGATGTAGGTGGAAGGGTTCCAATTGATTAACATTTCTTTTTTAATCTTTTGTTAAAGCTTTTGGTTGTAGTAAAGCGATTTGTGACATTTCTTTTTCTGTGGTGACAATGATTAGCAGTGTACAGCGACTTCTACGTGCCATCAACGAATGCCATATTTGATTCTTTTTACATGCTATTAAAATTATGCAAACTCATAATAAGCTTGAGTCATTTGTAAGAAAATTTAATCAGCAGAAAGACAACCATCGCAACTTTTCTAACTACAAATTAATAAAAAGTCAGTTTTGTAAGGTTTTGTTGATACAAGAAGGATTACTAAGTATGATAAAAAGTTCCTTCTTGAACGTGCTGAATTTTACGTAATAACTATTGTAAACAAAATCAACAACAGAGTTACGGAATATATGCCTATAAAAAGATGTAGGAATTTGGCTTTCAACCTGTCCTGTTTTTTTTAGCCTGCTCTGATTACGCAATCTGCGGCATTGCTAGAGCACTATTGAGACCGTCTCATTTGTTTTTACTTAATCTATAGTACATTACGTATCGAGGGAAGAAACAGGGTTATTTCAGATATGCAGTCTGAGACAACCCTGTTTCTTCCCGAGGTAGGTATACTATTTTTTGTTATGTTTATGGGGAAAGCTCATTATGAAATTGATAATGATAGAAGAGACATTGTCATTGAACAACTGATTTATACGCATGCCCATAAACTTCAGCGCATGCGCTGAAAAGACTAATTTCATTGCCTCCCGACTAAAACATGGCTGAAAAGAGGCCAAAAAAGTATATTCAAAAAAACTTCTTTATTTCGTTAATCACTGCTGAATAAATCTCATGAAATTATATTGAGGACAGAAAATTCGTTGAAACTATTTGAATCTTTTGATTTCAATCACCACGTCCATGAAATTGACATTTTACATACCGTTTTAAATTACATTTTTTGTTGTGATTTTTTTAAAGTGGATTATTTATGTAGCGATTTTTTAGAAGTTGAATATTCTCTCTTCGGTTTAATTGCTGCAGTGGCATTTATTCTTAGTTATGAAGTCATTAGAGAAAATTTCATGCAAATTGACAACGGCATTAACTCCTTACAAACCCCTCATTGGACCTTTAGCAAGTTGTTTTACAGTTGGTCAATTTCTTGCGGAAAGCTTAATCTGTTTAGATATCATTGCAAGAAGAAGTACAAGAGGAGTTCCATCATGGCCCTTTGTGGGCGGATTTGTAATGTACTTCTAACATTTTTATTTATCTTGACACAGTAGTAATTAATTTTACTAGACATATACGTAAATCACAGCTACCTCTACCTTACAAGCCATAAACAAGTATGTGGCGCCGCCGCAATTGTCGGCCATGCGGGTCTATTGGAGAGTCCACGTCATAACAGAATACATAAATCAATATCGAATTTTGCAAACTATACGTAAAATACACGGGAAATAGTAAAAAGAAGTTGGTATATTGTGTATAATTAAATGTTTTGAACATTTATTAGCAATTTCACAAGAATTGGCAAATCCAGAACAAATCATAAATGCTCAGAATTGTTCAAGCTAAATTATTTTCATTAGAAGTTGCACCCATTATTTTTTGATTTTTATGACATTTTTTGAGAAACATAAATTTCATCTACTAACGATTTTATCTTTTGTTTTGAAGGAAAAGTACTTTGCATCCTAGCTTCTTCCATAGCCTGTTTTCGGTATGTGCGAAAGTTTTGGAGACTTATTTGACTTTTTTTGATAATCACCCGCAGAAAGGCAATAGTGTGAAAATTAGTCTTAATAAAATTACAATTATTCAGATAATACACATTTACCGATTAATGTTAAAGTAACTTATATTCTTTGTTAATTCATTTGTGCTTATGTTTTCATAGTAGGCTGTGAAGATTTGGCCTGTGATGCACTTATTTAATTTTTTTAATCTCAACACGTGTAGTACTAAACTGTTTATGTTTATTTGTTCATCTTTGACGTTTGATAAAATCGGCAATGTTTACTTCTCCATCATGTAGCTGTAAAGTTTTTATAGCACTGCACTATTCAGTATTACACACCTACGTGCAAGTTTGCAATGTGATCGATGAAATGGAAAACAATTATAAGCATAGAGAATCAGAAAACAGTGAAATAAGTGAGGACGGGAAAAGATTAATAAAACTAGCAGAAAAATTAGGATAATATCGGCGAAGGGGAAGATGCTAAACAATGGGTGTGCTTGAAGGAAAAAAGAAATTGGGATAAAATAAAGCGGAGAGTTACCGAACTATAGTGACAGATAGGCTAGGGCACGAGGGGGAAAGAAATGAAGCGAGTTGCGGGAAAATAAGAAACGCTATGTGGAAAGCTACGAGAGAATCAGGGATGGTAAAATGGGTTAGAGACGGGTCGAATATAAGGAGTGATAAGGGTGTAAGGTTTTCTGAAACGTGCCGCATTCAAAAAAAGAAATGTAGGAGCTTTTAAAAAACTGGCTGAAAGATAGATGTCAGGAAAAAAGGAGGCACTAAATAGCTACAGAAATAGACTGTATATAGAGCAAGAGGAAACTAAAGAGATGAGACCAGGGAGGAAATATAAAAGGCTAAAGGCATTACAGAGTGGTGGAGGGCAATTAATAGAATTTTTATTTTATATATATAGAAATTCGAATGTAAGAAATAGTAGAGGCGTTTAGTAGAATAGCAAGTGGTAAGGTGACAGGTGAGGATGGGATACCAATTAAATGTATGAAGGTTAAATAAAGAGGTTTTAAGATGGGTTAAAATTACTCTTTCAATCAATCAAATCATATGAAGATGGGGATGATAGGCAGAAAAGTACCGGGGAGTTTCACTATTAGATGCAGAATACAAGGTTTTGATCAGCATAATGGCAAATAGATTGAGTAAATGGATAGAAGAAGAAAATGTGTTAAAAAAGAGCCAAGCGGGTTTCAGAAAAAAGACTGGCACGAGGAATCATATATTTGTTCTTAACATATTAATAAATGATATATTTTACGCAGGATTCATAGACTTTAAAGCCGCTTTGGACTCTGATTGAAGCTAACGTAGGGGTAAGGCAGGGATGTGCTCTAAATGCAATTCTATTTGATATTTTTATTGGTGATCTGGATGATATGTGGCTGCGTAGGGGGAGGGGGACGACGTTTAATAATATAAAAGTTTGGACAGAATGTACCAAACATTTAGAAAACATGTTGGGGACTTAGAGACTTATGTCGAGAAAAATAAGCTAACTGTGAATGCGAAAAAGACGAAGGTGCTAGTATTCAGAAATGGAAACAAAAGAAAAAGAAATGAATGTTGAAAATTTAAGGGAATGTGAATGAATTTAAGTATCTACGATACCGGTACACAACGAAAACCAGTACAGAGGGATATAGTAAAACTGGCGGGAAGGGTGCAAAATGCCGTTAATGTGACTTGGGGAGTGGTTAAAAGGGCCGGAAGAGATTTAAGAGATGATCGTGTGTTTTAAATAAACCCGATGGTAAGATCGGTAGCACTATCATCATCGTAAGGTCGTCAGTCCTTAGACAGGTTGGAGACGTACCTCCACTCTTTCCCTATCCTGAGCTAATATTCGCATTTCCCCAAAACTAGAACAACCTTAACTATTTGCGAACAGTCATCTAATCTAGGTCTACCTGTATCCTTCCTAACTCCCGTTTCTGCCTCTATGTCTTCAACTAGACCTTCATGCCTGAAAAGGTGTCCTACTAACCTATCCCGCCTATTTTATTGACTTCCATAGAGTTCTCTTCTCCTATCCTTTTTAATACCTCTTCATTTCTTATCTTCTCTATGCACGGTATCCTCCTCATTCACTTATAACATGACTTTTCGAACGTTTTTAACCTCTTATTTCCTGCCGCGCCCACTATCCATCTCAATTAACCGTTCGCGAGCATAGAAGTGACTTTTCCATTGAAGGCGACACGACCCTGCGCTACCTCTTCTTTATATCCGTACTACTCCTTCCGTCCTGACATATCTGACTTCCTAGATACCTAAAATCAGTCACTTCTTCTAATTTTTCGTAGCACTTTATGGAGTAGAAATTTGGGACTGGGAGAAAATTGATAGTATACGAAATATACAAGGAAGGTACTGTAAGATGGGATTGGAGGTAGCGAGAAATACGCCAAAGTATATTTGGAAAAGTGAGTTAGGAGTAGAAGATATAGAATTCACAGTTAGGTAACGTGCTGGTAGATATTTAAAGAATGTAATGGGGATGGATGACAAGAGAAGGTCAAAAATATGTCTAATAGAAGAAATGAATTATTGAGTAAAAACCCATCAGAATAGGGAAAATTAGAAATAATTGTGGAGCTGAGGAAACATTAACTCCTTGAGCAGCATGTCCCTGAGTGGTCTGTCTTTGGTGGACAAATCAGGGATGAACGAGCTGTAATAGGTTGCTTTACCTAGAAACAGTTGGACTTCTTCTGGTATGGTTGGTTTCGGCGCATCACGTACAGCTCGGATGTGTGCATCAGACTTGTGGATGCCTGACGCATCGATTTTGTGTCCAAGGGCTTCCAAAGATGTTTGAGCGAAAACGCATTTGGCTAGATTGAGCTTGCGGTTGTGTTGCCGAAACCGTTCCAGAAACCGTTCTCAAAACTATCAGCAAAAACTATACTGTCGTCAAAAAAACTTATGACGTTTAGGAGATCCTGCAGAACCGTTTCCATTCACTGCTGCCATGCCAGATAGCGGGAATGTTAGCTGATCCATAGACTACTAGTGTTGAACGGATCAGACCATGAGTTGGGGTGTTCAGCGTGAGCGCGTGACTGAACTCATCATCAACCTCGAGATGAGTGTACGCGTCGATGATGTCTAGCTGGCAGAAGAGAGTGGCACTGCGCATTTGGTTGAACAGGTGTTCCACCTTGGGAATCGGATATTCATCGATAATGATCCGCGGGTTTAGAGTAGGCCTATAGTTGCCTGTGATCCTCAACTTGCAGTTCTTCTTGGCGACGACGTGTGTTGTAATTGTCCATTCGGAGCAGTCCACTCTTTTGTAGAAGCCAGATGCGATTTTCTTGTCGATTTCCTTGGCGTAGGAGTCACGAAGGGCAACTGGTACGTCTCGATCTCGGGGAAGACAGGTGTGGCTCCAGCATTCAGGTGCATCTTCGCTGGGGGACCTGAGACCTTCCCGAGGATATTGCTGAACACATCCTGGTAGCGAGATAGAATGTTATCGAGCTGCTTCTGTTGTTCCGAGGTCAGAGCCTGTTTGTCTGAGAGCTTGTGGATTACGTCGGATTTCGCGAAGAAGTGCCCAAAGTCGATCTTCTGTAGAAACTTCGAAATCCACTCTCGGTCAAGGAGCGATTCGATTTCATTGTCAACCAAATAGAGATTCAGGTTCCTGGTTGTGGTTCCAATGGTGGTGCGAACTGACTTTTGCCATTGCATTTGATTGGATGGCCGGTGTAACTGACGATGTTACGATCGTTTTTTTGTAACACAAAACCTGATTTGATCATACTTAGCTTTGATTTGCTCATGGTTGAGCAGGGGGCGCCGGTGTCGAGTTACATTTTGACGGTGGATCCCTCTATGTTCCCATCAACCATTGGCTTAAGTGCTGCACTGACCGATCTAAAGACCTCAATTTTGCTGAGGTACTCCACGTCGTCGAGGTCCTCTGCTGGGAGCTCTTCTTCGGACACGACGTTTGCTCGATTTTGATCGGCCAACTTTTCCGATGTGGCCTTAGTTGCCACACTTCGGACACTCGGCGTTCAGGAACCTGCACTGGTTGCGAGGGTGAGCTTCACTGTACCGTGCACATATTGATTGGTTGTTCTGAGATGCACTCTAGTTTGCCTGGTGTGGCCCTTGTTGCTGCTGCCTGGTCTGGTTGTAAGACCCTTGTTTTCGACGAGCTGACTTATTGTGTGGTGGTCACTGGTTAATGTTTTTCCTGGACAAAGGCTTCTCGTATCCAATTCGATTAATTGATTCAGACTTAGTGACAGCTGTTTTGAGTTTGTCGGCAATGGTGCGAAAAGCTTCGAGAGCGTGTGCGATCTCATATGCCGCGGTGAAGTTCTCTGGTTTCGTTGCAATAATTTCGTCGCACATTTCTCGTGATTCCAACCCTGCGAGCATTTGTTCGATTAACATGGGATCGAGGAATGTGCAGTACTCGCAAAACGTTGCAGCCTGGTGCAGTCTTAAGGTGAAGCTAGCGATGGTCTCTCCTTGCTTCTGCATAACGCTCCGAAATTTGATGCTCTCAGCAAACTTGTTGCGGGTGGTGTCGAAGTGACCTGCCAGTTTATGTTGGATCTCGTTGTATGACAGAGTTCCCGGATCAGCGGGACTCACCAGGATCTTCAAGGCATCATTGAGTTCAGAACCCATGTAGACCCGTGCAAAGTGTGCGTGTTGATCCGTTGGTACCTTGCTGCGATGAACTTAGTTCGGTGCACACACTTGCGTTGGAGTTATTCACTCGGTTTCACAAAGTTATTTATCTTACCCCACTCCTGACACCATTGTTAAATCGTGAGGTAAAGATAAATAACAACCATTAGTTATGAACTACAAGCTATAGTGTATTTATTTATAATGACACAGAGTCGATTTAACTTTAGAGCGGTCCAGAGTCGACGAGAGACTGCCCGAGTGCTTTTTTTTTTTGTTTTCGTGGAAGAGGGGAAATCTTCAAAAGACACCTAGCCGTCCGTACGACTGGGTAGTGTCAGATACCCGAGGTCCTCGGACCTACCGACTAAAACCCTTCTACCTCAGGCCGTTCTATGTATGTGTTTGTTTATTATGTGATTGTGGTTTTTATTTTATGTGAATGTTTTGTGTGTGTGTGTGTGTGTGTATGTGTGTGTGTGTGAGCGCGTGTGGCCCGAGTGTGGTGAGCGGGCGTATATATACAAACGGTGAAAGTACGGAGTGGAGGAAAAGAGGAAAAGAAGGTTCCAGAGAGGAATGTTCTCGAAGGAGATCGCTGGGGCCGAGTGATATGGCACACCTACTTGAACGTTCGCGAAACTCCGGAAAGATCGATGCACGCGTTAACACAATTCCTTTAAATTTTAATTATTGATTTCTATACATCTATTAAAAAACCGTAATGGCCGACATCAGTGATAATGCGACAACAATTGGAAAAACAATGATGGCTGACAACTGCAACAATTAGAAAACAATCATGGCCGACACTACGTCATAGTGGAGCAATAAAAATGGACAGGGCAGGGGGAAGAACTATAATAGTAATAAATTGTATGCAGTGCAGTATCGGGGCAGTAAACAATGCTGCCGACAACACTACTATAATCGGCATACTTATTTATTTTTAAAACATGTAGTATAGTTACATTTTACCTTATTACATACCTACCTACTTAATTACAATGGCTCATTTAAAGTTTTTTTTTTTTCATTGCAGAGGGACTTTGATGTTGAAGTATTCACTCATGATAGAAGATTTTAGTATGTTTGTGGTAAATTTTACGGGAGTACTGTTAAATTTATTCCATATTTTAATATACAATAAATTTTGTCGACGAAGAAGACGTGAATTGCACGAACCTTTAAGAAAAGGATTGATTTTTGTGGCATTTACGTTTTTATATTCTTTCTGGGAGAAAGAGGAGTTTCTGGGATACAGATATGGAATGATTGTAACTATTTTAATGTTGGTTCTCAACGGAAGTCCTTTACTTGAGTTGGTAATTAATACAGTTTTATTAATTTGGCGCTTTATTAATAAGAATAGAGGCATTAAATTTCTGATAAATAACATATTGAGCTTTCAAAAAATGTCGGACTTACCCCTCACAGAAAGAAAAGTGAGGTTATTACAGAAGTATGTTTTTATAATTTAAATGCGAAATTCAATACTATTCTTATAAGGTATACGTCTTTAGAAAATCGTTTATATTAATTAATTTATTTTAAATATTACCTATTTTGTTTTGATAGAGTGATATAATTGAATGTGAAGATGCTTCAAAAATACAACTTCCTCTTACTGCAATGACTTGTATGAGTTGCCTCCTTTGGTTTCTTTATGGATTTATCATTAGAAGCGATTTTATTGTTGTAAGTATTTTCCCTGAAATATTTGCTCAAAATCTTTCCACGGCGAGTGAAAAATAACGCACCATCAAAGTGACATAAACCCAAAGTTAGTTTCTCACAGACGTCTTTCTTTTTAATGCAGCTTGCTTCTTTCGTTATGACGTTGTGCTTGAAATTACTTTTTAAATTTTGATTTTGGTAATATACAAAGTAAACGAATAATAATAGATTCTTTACACGAAATTTGCGGCAACCTGTAGGATGCCACAGTTGAAAAAACATCGAAATTATTTTTTCAAATATTTTGTTTTTTGATTCGTGTTGTTATCTCTACTAATAAATCAGATTACGTACCTAATAATGGATCTTAAGACGTATTAATCGTTATTATTATTCAAAAATGTTTTGGAACTCCAGAATGTTGGAGTAGAGCTGGTTTCTTTACGTGGACTTCTTTTACAAGGAAANGACGTAAGCGGCAATGTACCCTTAATCGTTGGTTTACCGGAAATTGATATAACGACAGTAGAAAAAAGAGTCACTTTTTATATTATTTATAAACGTCTATGTTAAATGTTGCATATTATAATATTAATGTAAGGTCTGAAGTCAAATGGTAGAATACTTTTTTTTATAGAAAAACCCGTTCAAATGACAAGAAAAGTTCGGCTTAATTTATTATTATTTTAATCTAAACTTGTCTAATTGAGGACCACTTCCATTTTTGGAGTTGATTAAAAATATTTGGTTATTTTTGTTTTGTTTCCTCCATTTATCAATTGCGATCGACTATTGAGTAAAAGCTTTTGTTTTTCATGAAATTGTTGGAATAAAATTTTTGAATTGCCGTTTTCATTACGCGTTATAAAAAAACTCTTGCTTATTCTATTTCTAATTTCATTTTTACTTGTTTTAGTAAAAATAATGTTTTTTTGCAGAATGCCTTGTTAGATTTATTAGGTCCATCAGATACATCAGAATTAGATGTAATAAGTTCTACTGCAATTCCAAGCCAACCCATACCAAGTAGTAACAATCAGGATTTGCTAGATTTACTTGGGGGTTTGGATCCTATGCCTATGCCTGCGTCAAATACAGACATTGGTGTTATTTTGGAAAACAATAACAGTTCCCTGCCATTAAATAACAATCAAACTGCGAACTTTTTATCGGGAGATATTTTAAATACTAATCTCATTAATGGTGAGGAGGATATTGTATTATTTACCACTTTCTTTTTCATTTTTCTTATTTTATTAACGTTATAATTATTTTAGAAAAACACGTGCCTGTAATAACAGCTTTCGATAAAAATGGACTTAAGATTGTTTTTGCCATAGAAAGGTTACAGGACTCAAATACAGTTTCAATTAACATGACCGCTACGAATAGCGCTTTGTCCAATATGACTGATTTTCTATTTCAAGCTGCTGTTCCTAAGGTAATGTGTCGTTCGCTAAAAATAAACTAAAAAAAAACGTGAATTTCAAATCCTTTTGTAAGTTTTCGATCTGATACATTTAATTGTTCGAAACGCCGAAATGTTAAGAAGTAATAGTATTAATATATTGTTATTCTTCTTTAGCGAATGAAATTAAAGTAATGTTATAGTGCCTTAAATCATACATTTACAATATCTTTTTCTTAAGACGACGGCCAAAAAGTAACAAATGTTTTATAGTAAAATAGTGACAGTTTTACACACATTACCTAATGTGAATATAATGACATTATTATTTTCAGAAAGTAAAAAGGTTTATATATTTAGTTTTTTGATGTAAAGTATTATAAATAATGAATTAATTTTTTTAATTACAATTGGAATATTTCATCGATACATGTAAACTAATGTTAATTCGAAACTTTGGGTTTCGTTGTCAATGTTGTTAAATAACAATTTCTCTTTGTTTTAGACATTCCAATTACAGATGCTATCACCTTCTGGTACAATTATCATTCCAAGTGGTCAAATAACACAAGTTTTAAGGGTCACTAATCCTAGCAAAGTAAAAAACCATTCTGTACTATGTTTTTGTGTCAAATAAATTTTTGCTTTAATTTTAGGCAATACTTAGGATGCGTATAAGACTGTCGTATGTATTAGATGGTACTCCTGTACAAGAACAAACCGAGGTAAACAATTTTCCCACGGACATTTGGGATTGACGGAAGCTAGGTTAAAAAGTTCATCATTTGCAACATCCTACGACTATTTTTTTTTGTCGCTGAGAGTAATATTCTCCTGGTATTTGTAAATAATTCGTGTTCTTCATATCTGCAATTTTTGAGTACTTAATTCGTCCACTAGTTATTTTTAATCTTTGTTATTGCTACGAATAATTTCTATTGCTTATGGTAAGATGTTGGGACATATTAATTTGTTTCCATGTATTTATTTGTTTTCTCTTGTTTTTTTGATAATCACCCGCAGAAAGGCAATAGTGTGAAAATTAGTCTTAATAAAATTACAATTATTCAGATAATACACATTTACCGATTAATGTTAAAGTAACTTATATTCTTTGTTAATTCATTTGTGCTTATGTTTTCATAGTAGGCTGTGAAGATTTGGCCTGTGATGCACTTATTTAATTTTTTTAATCTCAACACGTGTAGTACTAAACTGTTTATGTTTATTTGTTCATCTTTGACGTTTGATAAAATCGGCAATGTTTACTTCTCCATCATGTAGCTGTAAAGTTTTTATAGCACTGCACTATTCAGTATTACACACCTACGTGCAAGTTTGCAATGTGATCGATGAAATGGAAAACAATTATAAGCATAGAGAATCAGAAAACAGTGAAATAAGTGAGGACGGGAAAAGATTAATAAAACTAGCAGAAAAATTAGGATAATATCGGCGAAGGGGAAGATGCTAAACAATGGGTGTGCTTGAAGGAAAAAAGAAATTGGGATAAAATAAAGCGGAGAGTTACCGAACTATAGTGACAGATAGGCTAGGGCACGAGGGGGAAAGAAATGAAGCGAGTTGCGGGAAAATAAGAAACGCTATGTGGAAAGCTACGAGAGAATCAGGGATGGTAAAATGGGTTAGAGACGGGTCGAATATAAGGAGTGATAAGGGTGTAAGGTTTTCTGAAACGTGCCGCATTCAAAAAAAGAAATGTAGGAGCTTTTAAAAAACTGGCTGAAAGATAGATGTCAGGAAAAAAGGAGGCACTAAATAGCTACAGAAATAGACTGTATATAGAGCAAGAGGAAACTAAAGAGATGAGACCAGGGAGGAAATATAAAAGGCTAAAGGCATTACAGAGTGGTGGAGGGCAATTAATAGAATTTTTATTTTATATATATAGAAATTCGAATGTAAGAAATAGTAGAGGCGTTTAGTAGAATAGCAAGTGGTAAGGTGACAGGTGAGGATGGGATACCAATTAAATGTATGAAGGTTAAATAAAGAGGTTTTAAGATGGGTTAAAATTACTCTTTCAATCAATNCACACTGAGTTGTGAATGTAAAATAAATATAACAAATTAAAACCACGTGGTAAACACATCAACGTTTACAGTTAACTTTGTCATTGCCTATATCTGCAACATTGGAATCAATTAAATATTAACACCTAAACCTACCTTGATAAAGCCTAACACAAATAGGCGGAACGTTGGATTTGGTTTTCGATTAAATAAAATATTTGTCTCTTAATTTTGATTTCAACACTATTTGGTAACTAAACGAGACGAAATAGATACCGTTTTTTCTTTTTTATCGTTAGTAAAAATCGTGAATGTTTTTAAAAACAAAATCTATGACTATTCATTGTATGATTTACGATTACCTTTTGGATTTACTTGTACTTGTACATATATTTACTATGTTACTTGCGTCCATACTTTAACAAGGCAAAATATGTAAATAAATGAAAAAAAAAAGAAATAAAGTAGTATTCTGACATTTCTTAAATGGTTATAACCCTATAGTTTCTACATATCGGTGTAAGATCGCATAGTTTTCGCATTTCGTGGAATTGTTTTTGTAAAAATACGGCTTACAATTTAATTAAGTTGTTGCGATCCTCGACAATTAAAGGGGTTAGTAAGTCGCATGAGCTTAAGTCAATATTACAATTGTATAAAAGAGGAAACCAGTTTTTTATTAAATTCAAATTTTATTTCATTCATTACACAACTCGGGATTAAATTAATCTTTTTTTTCTCAAGAAATGAAATTAGAGAGGAAAAGCAATAAACAAACATTTCCAAATGTTGTACAAAAAAAATAGTGCATAAGTCTATGGTTTTGGAGATACACTATTGAAAAGCCTATCTTTAATCATTTGGGCCATAAGGCCATGAATAATTTCTATCGTTGTTTTACAACTGTCCTTTGTTGCCTTTGATAATTTATCTTCAGTGCGCTTTTCATATGGATCAGTTCCACCAACCATGAAACTACGACCTAGAAATAAATAAGTTTGAATGCTTCAAATATGCTGTTAACCATGAGTCTAAAGGCTGTAAAAGTAAACTTTACACAGCAGTGTACTAAGCTATCTCTAAATGGGATGCGAATCACCGAGAAAGTGATGAAAACTATGCAACTCAGACAGAAGGCTACTCAAAAGATTAATTAATGAAACTAATTTCCCTTTTCAACCAAAACTACATTGGTTGATTTGTTCATAGGAAAGTAAAACAAGTTACAGACAGCTGATTAAGTAATACAGAACTGAAACTAACTTGTATAAGAAGTTTTGCTGTATCTACCAAAGTTTTCGTCAATCAGCTTAGCTTATAATTGTATAAAAATCGTAAGCTTTTGTGTCCGGATGCGATTTATACCAAAAATCAACTTTAAAAGAAATCAAAAACTTAGGCAGACAAATTAATTGAAATATAATTTTGTGAACAACTGGTAAACACTTTGAAGATTTGATAGCTAAAGTTAGAAAGTAATTAATCATTCCGGTTCCGATTAGGTCTTGTCAAGATAAACAAAACCTTGGAAATAGATTGAGAAATGCTCATATATGGATTGTTCAGAATTAACTGATCCGAAAATAGAATACTTTTTTTGAGTTATTATCAATTCTGTACGCCAGAACTTCCGCCTGTGTCTAACACAGTTTAATCCAGCTTGCTCACGCATTTTCTTCTGTTCTCGAGTTATCAGTAATTATTATCTATGTTGCTATATTATTTTGTTTCTTGTATCTTTTATTTACTAGTCTCTTTGTATATATTTTCTATTCGTTTGTTATTGTTGTGTTCTTCCTACTTAAACTGTATTAATTATTGTATTTTCAATATTTTTATTCAAAAATTAACGAAATAACAAAAATTAAATCTTACCAAAAGCAACTTCAGACTGCTCCAACTTTTCTGATAAATCAAATATCTGACCAGTGGTGTAATCTGCATTAGTCAGCAAGCTTGAAGAACTTAAGGTATTCACCCAATATTTATTCCAAAGAGAATCTAATAATCTTCTATCTAATGCTGATTTAAAATAAGAAACATCTAGAGAATAATACTGTTTGCAATGTACTCCAAAATCTTCAATTTTATTTAATGGAATAGTTTGATATTCAGATGGTTCCTCATTTGCTGGTTTGTATCCCTACAAAAACTAAGTAATGATATTTTTAAATCACAAATGTTTGTAAATTGTTACCTTTGGATAAGTTCTAAAAGCTCCCAGACATACTTTTCCAGCAGATATGGTTCGAACGGGATCAATAACAATTGCTACAAAGGGTTCTTGAAAGTTCTGGTTTAACATTTGGGTGCTTACATCAATTCCTGAGAGCCAGCATCCATAGCCTGGGTGACTATGATACCATCCAATTGCATTTTCTTGTCTACCAACCTAAAAATTAATTAAATTTTCCAGAAAAATAACAGTATACCTGTAATAACTTCAATAGGCATTCAGTGCACGAAAATGTGTTGAAAATAGCAAAAAAATTGACCTACCCATACGAAAAATCCAAGATACAGAAACAATGTATTTGTGAAAAAATGAAATAAATTGTATACTAATGAGTAATGAGTGAAAAAACCTAAGCCAACAATTTACATTTTTTGCAAAAAATAACATGGCAAAGACAACATTGTCTCTATGATGACAATATTCACTTCGACCTTTTCCTACCGTAAAGTTGTTATGACTCTAAGTAATCAAATAAAATAATAAACCATTGTTAGACAAGTTTAGGGTTGATTAGGTTACGGTAGGATGCTGTTTTTTTCAAACCTCAAATCGTGTCAAACATATTTTCTTGTTCAAAATGGTACAAGATTGAAATTTCATGAGATTCGGAGGTGTGACCCCTAATCTAAACAATTATCAAATGGACTCCTAACCTAACCTAATCTATGCATTTTGCATAAAGACTACTCTTTTATTTTTAATGACAACCAACTGTGCAACTTGGTTTAGAAAAGTATGGTCATATCATTAAGAATAATGGAGCACTTCGATTTAAATTTTGAAAATTTGGACAATACCGTGACTGAGTATTAAAATAATGACATCTATGTAGCACTTCCGCGTAAATCGTATTTTAAATTATACATCCTGTATATTATGAAGGTTTTAAATTGAAGTTATGATTTTAGGTAAACTTTTATAAAGCCTTTCCTACTTCTAAAATCTACCGTTTTCGAGATATTAATGTTTCAAGAAAAGGTATCACAGAGCAGTAGGTAGCGAAAAAGCATGCCTATTTCACAGTAAGAAAGCTATATTTAGCTATTTAGCTATACCCTCAANCGTGGACTTCTTTTACAAGGAAACGCTATATTCCGAACATTTTTATCTGCATGTTACCCTTTCCGAAACCATAATCGACAATATTTGCATTTAGAGGAAGTAGAAATTGAAACACAAGACTACTCACCTATTATACAGTTTTCTTAAATAAGTAGCAAACTGGGCGGTTTCAATTAGATGCAATAGGTAATCGCAACAAAATTTTTCGAAATTTGAATCCCTTTCGAAAAGACAGGCATTAAAGCATTTACAAAAATTATTTATGAATCGAGCAAAAAAGTTCGGCACACATCAATACTGACTATTGACTACTACAAATTTACTAACAGTTGAAAATTAGTTTCCAGTAGGTAAGGCTTGTATTTGTTGTAAACGATAAAAATGCAACAACTGCCCCTTTAACATTTGCCACACTATCACAAAAGAGGAGATAACGTTGTACGCTATTTCGCGGTGATATGGTTAAGGCTCATGACTCACAAATATAGGGTGCACCTTGTGATTACTGTAGAATTTAATCGTTATATTAACATGATCACACTGACCTACCATCGTTTGATTAAATACATCAAAGTTACAACGTTAAAAGAACAAATAACTACTGATTACAGTTGGTTATAACATATACATCTTAAATCGCTCTTAATCTAATCTAACAAATAATACATGAGCAAAAAATTCAAAAGAAATACAACACAGATGCTGATAATTACTAGGTCGTTAAATACGGCATTGCATTGTTGCATTTCTCTCCAGGGTCGGAATTAGATTTGCATGTACTTTCAACTACGTTTTTCTCGAAAACGGTGAACTTTCGACTCTATAAATATTTACTTAAGTTGGGGTCTTCTTACAATGGGCAAACGATAATTTGTTTGTACTTTATATGTGCAGCATTCAGTTGCCCTTGGAGATTTCTTTTTACAAATCACTTAATTTGTGATTTTTGGCTTCCTCAAAACGTTTAATTAAATGCTTTTGGCTGTTGTTTTGCTTTGTACTCTTATAGAAGTTTTATTTTCAACAGTAGATACACCTTCAGCTGCATTATCGCCTCAAATCTTTTCGTCCATCTATTGCATGTCGTGTTACAGCCGGCCGCGGAGTAGGGGTAAAATTGAAAGACGCTCGGTAAAGCAGCCAAGGCCAATATGGCGGCGTCCATGGCTCGCAGGAGCTATCCGTGTAGCATTTATATTCTCACTCATTCGTGCAAGTGCATGACAATTACATTTATAGACTGTGAAACTCGAAGCGAAGATGAAATTATTGGTAGAATAACTGAAGTTCAACATGATTCAATGATTTAAATAAATATTGTTCTCAGTTTTTAACATGCGTTTATCATCTAAATGATTGTATTTAGTAAGTATTCCGTATTCTTATATGCAGATTGAAATTACAATTTATAGTTGGACATCTCGTGTACTATTGATTTTCCATTATCATTCCCATTTTCCAATCATATAGATAAGAATAAGAAACCGATTTTAATTTTAGTAAATCGAATAATTTTCCGAAAATTTACAGTTAAATGCCTACAATTCGAAAAGTTTCACTTGCATCGTGGTTTCATAAAACCACACAACTTTTTATTAGTGGTGTTACGAGTAGGCAACATTCCAGAACGTTCAATCGGCCAATTTTCTGGAAGTTTCTACCGATCGCGAAAATTCTAGCAAACTATATATATTGTTAGAAAGCTTTTGAATAAATAACAAATAAACTGACGTCATTTGAGAAACCTTAAGAAGTCACATATCATTGGAAAGCTCTTGAAACGTAGTCCGCTTATCTGAGGCAGTTTCGAGCAGCGGCTGAGGCAAATGCCTAGACCGATTCAGAGAATGCAACGGCACCAATAATTGCTTTACGAGGGGGGGGCACCAGATGGATGCCTAAGTCTCAACAATATGACTTCTAGTACCTTCTCAACCCCCTAGAAATGAGGTACGTGGATAAACATCTACAACAGGTACATCAGACGCACTTGAAAAGTCGTAATCAAAGAAGTAACGAGACCCTCCGCTCCTTCGGAATTTATAGACCAACTAGCTGTGTAAATAATTATTGATGGAGACAAAGATTTTGAACTACAGCTACAATTGGAAATGCAATCTTATGTAGTTAGGTATTAGTGGCTGATATAGTAAATCATGTTATCATTAGATTGGATCTTCTTCAAGAATATGAAATCGACTTAAATACTAGTACCTCTACAATGCGCATCGATCGACATGAGATAGTAATGTCAAATGCAAAGACGAAACTTGTCGCCTGTAAGGTGATCGTAGAGAAAGTTCGAGTATTATCCTGTCACTCCCAGAGCAAAAGTAATTGATGGCGACAGTCTAATCGAACAATCCACACTTCAGACATTATCAATACTCGTCAGAATAGTCAATTTGAAAGACTTCGAGCAAAAGACGAGATGAAATCGAATCACTTTCAGCAACTTTAATAGAACTGGTGAAACGGTCAAGTAACCACAGTCAACAAGCGTCAAGTCAAGCAATTAGAACAGCTTCTTAGCCGTGTTCAACACGTCTTCGTCCTCTCAGATCAAGATCGGCAGTACCAACTTAATATACCACAGCATCAACATCGGAACAGCAAGACCCATCAAGCAAGAACCTAGAAGAGTTCCCCGGGCAAAACGAGAGGAAGTCAGTAACCTTAAGAAAGGCATACATAAGCAAGGGATCAACGAACCATCTCAAAGTACTTGGTACACAAGAAAGATGGTTCTACGAAATTTTGTGTGGATTATAGGAAGCTAAACGATGAAGAACAGTCACCCACTACCTCGAATCAACGACAGCCAGTACAGTCTAGCTGGAGCTAAATGATTCTATATTCTCGTTTAGAAAAATGGATACTGGAAAGTATAACTGTATCTGAAAAACTTTTTACAACTGTAAATGGACTATGGCAGTTCAATATGACGTCTTTTGGATTATGCAAGGCACCGGTTGTATTCGAAAGACTCATGGACATTGTATGTAATTATATGTTAACTAAACTGGAAAATCTGTTTGGGTTACTATGATTAAAAATCTTCAAAATGTGACTGAAGTTTTCAAGAGATTGACAGCCGCAAAACTGAACGCAAAAAATGCGCCCTACTTAAGAGAGAAGTGAAGTATCTATTGTATGTTAAAACACCGGGAGGAATTAGGATTGATCCAGACAAAATGGATGTTTGTCGATACCAAAAGATCGGCACGAACTTAGAAGCTTTCTGGGATTGGTTCCTATTATCGAAGATTCATACAAGGATTTCCCAATACAGGCTGACCACCACACAAAATTACTGAAGATGAAGTTTTATTCGAGTGGTCACCTGAATCCCAAAAAGCATTTGAAAACTTGAAGATTATTCTCTCTGAAGTTCTAATCTTATTATATCCACAATTCAGCGAATACTTCGTAGTTTATATCGACATTAGTAATGTGGAACTTGGTGGTGTGTTAGTTAAGAGAGATATAACTACGTGAACTACAAAATTCGAAATTAAAACCTCGTCGCAGAAGAAAGGCTTCAAAGCATCTCACTCTCGCAAAAATATCAGGTATTTGACGAATTTCATTTGCAGTGTTCATCACACGGTTCTGCACATTATTAGCATTGTACACTGATGATTGATGCTGCGCTGTTTCATATAATCCCACACAAAGAAGTATGTGGAGTTAATTCCGGCCTATCAAGGATATAAACATCATCCTATGAGAAAACTTGATGTTTGAAGCACTTTTTTACCGACTGATACAAATTTACCCTCGACAGAAAATCATTTTCCTCAACAGCTTATACTCGCTACAAATGACAAGGAGGCAGGAACTCTTCCTTTAAAAAATTTCACGCTGTAACAAGGAAAAAGACAAGTTTCCGCCCTATTTGGTGTGTAGTCATTTGAGAGTAGTCTTTTGCGAAATCGATGTTTCGTTTTTTACAGCAGTGGCTGAGCACATATATACCTACAGGCCAGCAACATTAAAAGAATAAAGAATTATATCCTACAAGCTGATTGTAACATAATCATTGTTAATTACATGTAATCTAACCTAATAAATAACAAACAATGAATAAGCATAAAAATGCAACACGGATGCAATGTCGTATTTCCCTGCATGATCTACTAGGGCCAGGGTGGCCTTTGGCTTTTCTTTCGAATACGTTTTTTTTCGAAAACTGTGAACTTTTGGACCACCAAATACTTACTTAACTTTCTCTCTAGTACCCTATCACCTGCAAGCTTGCTATTTATTTCAGAAACACTCTGTATAGCACGATCCTTTTTCCATACTAAATTATAGATAGCCCTCAGAATATCTGTTAAAAATAAATAATTAAAACATATAAATATTGTAAATAAAATAAAGAAATGAATAAACCTATTGTAATGTTCGTGGGTTTAACAAAACTAACTTTTTACACTAATTATTAAAGAACTTAAAACACTATTAAATTATTACTAAACTTAGGTTATGAATTATTCTATTTATTTACGCTACTGTTGTTATATCACTAATCACTGTGCTATTTATTTCACTGTTATCACTGTAAATTTATTTCTGGATTCACTTCTGCAGCGGTCCATTTATTTCTACTTCACTCGGCGATCGTCTCTTCCTTTAAATACTCTTTTGTTTACTTTCGGGAGCCTTTTCGAAACATCCGGATATATTCTTTTTTCTTTAAACTGTTTAACTACTTTCCCAGAACGCAGGTACGTCACACATATTTACAAATACGGAGCACATGAAGTAAGGCGCCCGTGGCTAGTCGGCGAATCGATAAGCCGTTCACGCACACGTGTGTCCGATCGCACACAAACACACTCTTGCTCGCTACACTGTAATGGTCATAATGTTTCTTCATGAACTTTTTAATTTAGCCATAACGCATTTATAGATACGAAGTATTTATCTATAACGCGATTAAAAAAAAATTCAAAATCTACAATGCGCTTAGGGTAAAAATTTCAATCAGTAGCAGATTTTAACAATTGCGTGCATATGTATGCATCCGATATAATTTTTTTATATTTTGTAGATTCAAAATTTTTTTGGATTTCTTTCTTCTTTTATTCAATCTGCTTTGTACCTAAACTATTATGAAGGATTTTCTGGTAAAACATCGTAGAGCTAATTCAAAAGGCATGGCCCGTTACAACAATCTATATTAAGAATTATTACTTAAATATTTGAACTTTTTGATGCATATAATTTCAAAATAAATGCTTTTATCTACAATGTTCTGTGTTCATTAAATTTTAACGATGACATTCACGAGAATAAAACATTCCGGGCATAAAATAGACCCTCATTTGGATGTGCGAAAGAAGACTTGGAGGATGCCATCAAATGTAATTCAACATTTCAAGACTAGGAACTGTGCGTAAGTGTTATCAGGGAGTGTTTAAATGTTTCCCTATATTATAAAATTATTACTTTTGTTATACTTATTTATTTTAAAACGTTGGGTAATTTTTGTCAGACTGACATTGCAGAATTTAGGTAAGACACGTGGGGCCACGTTGTGTTAAAAAGAAAAATCTAGGAATGATACACGTGAGTCACGTTGTCCTTGAAACGCAATACTGATAAACTGTATACGGGCATCAGCCTATGGTAAAAGTGTAATTTTGTTTAGACTAAGCATTTTGTAGAAAGGGCGGACGAATAGTTTTTCAGTTTGGGGAAGTCAGTTTCTCGAGGGCTGTGTGAGAGTGAAGATCAAAGCTCCAAAATGAAAACTTATTCTTCCTAAAAAACTTAATAAGGTGATAAACAATGTAAATAGAAGAATTTATAATACCTATCGTTTTATATTTTATAGTAAACGCCTGTATTAGTAATAGTTTATATTTAGGTAATGATAAAAATTTGAAATTTCATTTTTGCTTGCGTATGTAGAAGGTGATATTGTTTATTTGCTGAAATTATGACGATCTGCAATGTTTTTTGTAATTAATGATAGGTAACTGGAATTTGTTTGATAAATAAAAATATGATAAATTTTTGCGTTATTTGTCTAATAGTATTTTCCAACTGTTGATTTACTTACGCAGAACCTGATAGTGTGAAACGTAGACGCTGAAAAAAGAAATGGTTAAAAGCGTTTGAGGGTATACTGTTAGAGGAAGATATTAAAAGTACATACCGTGGATAGAAAAGGTTAGTAATGAAGAGATATAATAAGATCACATTTTCTAGATGTCATATGTCTCGAAGAAGCGACTAAGTGTGTGATATACTAGTGAAATAGAAATTAATTAATAATAGCGGTGTTAATTAAAAAGGACATGAAGCAATAAAAGAATAATAAGAAGCAATGAAATCGAAAATCGAAGAGGGGCAAAAAGAAATGAAAGAAGTGATAAAAGCAGCTTAAGAAGAAATGAAATAGATATGAAAGTAGTATAGGAAGCAATAAATATGAGAACGGAGGACAAAATAAATGATATTAAAAATGCAATAGAGAAAAGAAATCAATATGGGAAAAAAGACAGAAGAAGGGAATTCAAGATAAAACAGAAGATAAAGCGAAATCAAGACGGCAAAGAAGATAAAAGAAAGATACATCATTATTGGAAAAAGAAATTAAGAACCAACGACTTCCTATTATTGTGAGAACTAACAAATCTATTGAAAGACTATCACAATATTACTCCTTCACATCTTTCGATNACGTCTATGCGTTCTTATCTCAACTAAATGCACTGCTAATTAGTTTTGGTGGTGCCGCTTTATTCTGCCCTACTGATAAGTATCAGCAGGATATTAAAACAGAAGATAAAGCGAAATCAAGACGGCAAAGAAGATAAAAGAAAGATACATCATTATTGGAAAAAGAAATTAAGAACCAACGACTTCCTATTATTGTGAGAACTAACAAATCTATTGAAAGACTATCACAATATTACTCCTTCACATCTTTCGATGATAGGAAATGCCCGACATGCGTTGCCAGTAACGGATCTAAGGCGAATTCAGTAGTACAACGTGGGAGTGCCATTTGAGAGAATTGTAGTCCACGTGGCAGTATCATTCCCTATAAAACAGACTCTGCTAACCGATACATCTTGGTCGACACGGATTACCGAAAGCATGTACGATATCGAAAAAGGAAGCATACATTCTTGCCGATAAGCTTGTCAATAACTGGATTTGCCAAAAAGGAGTATCATTGGAATTGCATTTCTTCAAGAATATCATTGAACTAATGGGTATTAAACAAACGAGGAATACGCTCTTACATCCACAGTCTGATGGAATGCTTGAACAATTAATAAATTAATACTAGAAACAAGATAATTAATATGTTGTAGGTAATCCAACATGATGTCACATATAGGCAATCCAACATACACAGTAGCAAAGAAGATTTTCTTGACGTCACATTCTGGATCTTTCTAGAACAAGTCAAGCCCCTATAAATAGGTGTTGAGAGTTAGGATAAGTCAGTTAGTCAACACAAAGCGAAATAAGAAGAGCGAAGAAGAGATAAGGTGTGTGATATAACAGTGAAATAGAAATTAATTAGTATATTAGTATTATTTAGACAGTAAATAACTAAATAAATTAGACAGTAGTGAGAAAATTATTTGTCTTTTACTGTTAACGTTTAGGAAGCTTCGCTTGACACTTTTTTCGTCGTTTTACATTTCAAAATTGATTCCCACAAAATTCCTTATATTTTAACTGGGCATAAAAAGGAGAGTAGCAATTATTGTTTGATAATAACTTAAGAAATTGTTTAATAATATTTGGTTCAGATTCAATGGTATTCCAATCAAAAATGTAATGAGTAATGAGGTTATTTATTGTTTAATATTTAACAAAATTGAGTTTTAACTCTTAAAGCGTGTGAGTCACAATTCCGAGGAAAATAAAGCAAGTTTTTCACGAAAACTTTTTATATTTTTCCAAATCGAATGATGAGGATATAGAGACAATGAAATTGCATTAAAACGTCCCTAAAGTCAGCAGCTACAGATATACCAGGTCTTAAAGAAAACGAAAGTAGGAAACCCTGGATAACAAATGCCATTGTAGGATTAATAGAAGAAAGGCGGAAATACAAAAACAGGAAAGACGAAGGGCAAAAAAATATAAGACTATAAAATGGGAAATAATTAGGAAGTGTAGGGCAGCTAAGGAACAGTGGATTGACGGGAAGCGTAAAGAAGTACAAGAAAATTTTGAAGTAGGTAAAACCGATGAGGCTTATAATATAATTAAAAGGAATTTTAGAGAAGTAGGGTACAGTAGTAATAATATAAGAAATGATGCAGGGGTCATTTTGATAGAAAATGAGGAAAGGGCAGATAGGTGGAAAGAATACTTAGAGAACCTATACTCAGGCCGTGAGTTAGGAGATATATTAGAGAAGGAAGATAGTGTGGAGATAGATGAGATAGGAAGAATAATAAGGCGCCAAGTGTAGGGATACAGGTAGAAATTCTAAAACATGCAGGACAAGAGGTTAGAGATCGTATTTTTAAGCTAGTTAGTTAGTTACATTCGCACTGTCAGGGTTTAAAAATTAACAATTACAAAAAGAAGTCAGATAGGGATGCACACTGTCACCACTACTTTTTAATCTATACATCGAAGATGCGATCAACATTATTAAAGACAGTACGTAGGGATAGATATACAGGGGTAAAAGATTAGTATGCTTAGATTTGCAGATGATATAGCAGTATTAGCATCTAGCAGGGAGGAGTTAGATATAGCTTTAAACTATTGACAAAACAGTACTGCATGAAAATAAATAAAAGTAAAACGAAAATACTGATATGCAAGAGAAGAAAATGTAGGGAAAGAGCGAATATAATGATTGTTCGGGTCCTATTCATCAATTCGTTTCACTCAAAATTCAGTCTCTTTTTAACGTCTGCTTTTTTGAAATAATTGTTTCTTTAAGAATCGAAATCTTTTGTTTCGATTTCGAGAAGGGTTTCTTATGTGCCTACGCATAAAATAGTGTTATGAATGGCCCTGTTACAAATCTGAAGTAAAAAGGGTACACAAATTGGTCAGGGTTGACAGCAAGAAGGCTGTCATAAATTCATGTCTTGTAATGTGCAGGTTCATCGAAGACTTAAAGCGATTCATTTTATTGCCCCATAAATGTAAACTTTTACTCGAAACTGGGTCAGATGGTGAAATCTGGGACTATTGTGTCTACTAGAACTACCCCCATTTGTAATGACCAATGAAGCTTGTTATCCATAATATTTAGGAAGGGACTCGTACACTCCACCCCCTTTATTTGCATAATTAAGTTTATTTAAGTAGTAGTTTTAAGTTTATAAGAGAGATTCAGATCATGTAAAGCGAAGAGATTCACATCATTCAGACTCACATTAGAGATTCAAATTAAGATTCAGATTCGTTCGATGTATAAAGTGTAATTAAAGGTGTGTAGTTGTAAGTTCAATATAAAATTCCACAAATTAAACGTCTATGCCTTCTTATCTCAACTAAATGCACTGCTAATTAGTTTTGGTGGTGCCGCTTTATTCTGCCCTACTGATAAGTATCAGCAGGATATTGCCTAATACGAGCCCTTACAAGGCGACGAAACAATGATAGAAGACGAAAACTTAGAAGAAGTGACCGATTTTTGGTATCTAGAAACTCAGATAAGTCAGGACGGAAAGAGTAGTAGGGATAGAAAGCAGAGGTAAATTTAGAAATTCGAAAAAGGTGTATGTTTGGAGCACAGCGCTGTACGGGTGCGAAACATGGACAGTGAGCGCGGCGGAAAAGAAAAGGTTAGAAGCGTTCGAAATGTGGTGTTATAGGCGGATGATGAGGATATCGTGGACAGAGAAGGTTAGAAATGAAGAGGTATTAGAACGAATAGGAGAACAGAGGACTCTATGGAAGTCAATAAAAAATGGGCGAGATAGGTTAGTAGGACGCTTTCTCAGGCATGAAGGTCTAGTCAAAGACATATTAGAGGCAGAAGTATAGATTATTGTTCGCAAATAGTCAAGGATATGGGTTGTTCTAGTTTTAGGGAAATGCGAAGATTAGCGCAGGATAGGAAAGAGTGAAGGTGCATGTCCAACGAGTCTTAGGACTGACGACCATATTATGATGATGGGTTCCAAATCACAGATCCCTATAATGCATACAATGTCCATTACCAGGCTATTATAAATCAACAAAATAGTGCCATAAGAGTAAAGTACGCCGTACGTTTGATAGATTCGCCTTATCCTCAATTTCATTCATAGTGGTGCTA